TTAAATCAATCACAAAAAATAACCTCCTCAAATAATTCAAAAGGCTGCAAAAAAGTCTTTATTATAAAATCTGAAATTGCAGTAGCAAATCGTGGAACATGGATTAATTGCTTTGGTTGATCTTTCTTCTTCAATGGGACTTCTTCAAAGCCCCAATTAATTCATGAGAACATAGGAAACGTGAGAGAAAGGTAGGCAAAAAATGCAAAATACAGTAGGGAATGTAACAAGAAACACAATAGGAAGATAAATTTTCTATTAAATTAGGTTGTGAGGATGTATTTGTTACATTGAATTATAGGATCTGATCCCCTTCTAAAATCAAGGTCAAAAATGAAATTAAATTAAATTAAAAGAACTAAGATGAGCTAAAAAATTTATCATAAAGACTGCTACGATTTCCACACAGGTCAGAAAGGGCCAGAATAAAATTAGCTATTTTTTAGTTCATTTTTTGAGATATTGAGCTGATCTCGATATCTTTAATGCTATGGATATTGAGTTGAAATCTACTTTTTGATGTGCGTTAACAGCACAATTCAGTCACCCACATTCCCAATACAATGATATCAGCAAGGGAATTAAATTTGTAAACATTTTTGAACACGAGACTTTTATAAACTGATCTGTTCTTGGTGTTGATTTACGGTATGACTTCAATATGAAGTGCAGGCCGAGAGAACTCCATATTTAAGCGGCTTATATGTTTTGTTACGAGCTCACCAACTCATTTTATTACAAAGATTTCAAGGGCTCATCACTAATGAAGGAATAACTTGAGTGGAAAAAGAAAGATTACCAATCTTATTTCAGTAATAGAACCAAAATGAATTACTTGTGTATAAGGCATTCCAAGAAAAGGCCATTTCTTATACTTGGAATCACAATAATGCAAGTTGCTGTTTAATTTCAACAAAATAAGAAACAACAATCTAGTAAATTATCCAAAATTGCAATCTCCAACTACAAATACTGATCATTAAGGCAAACATAAGTTAAAAAAAGGTCATCCTTGATGAATACAAATCCAAGTAAAAAAAATCAAGGATCAGCAATGGTGACCTCAACCTCAACACCAGGTTCAATGGTGATAGAGGTAATCTGCTTCACCACGTCAGAAGAGCTGACGAGGTCAATCAGCCTCTTGTGCACGCGAAGTTCAAACCGATCCCATGTGTTGGTACCTAAAGCATCCCCGCAGGTTCATCAAAAGTATAATATGAATAACATATAGCAATAGATTAAAACTAAAGCAGTCTGGTTTAACAAAGGTTCATGGGCAATAATACATAATAAAAGAGAACTTTCCCAAATGGTGAGAGCAATATGGCAGAGCATTTAACACAAACTTCAACTTCTTCTCTTGTTTATTGTTAGGCATGTTGCTGGGTTAAATGTGGCAGTATTTAACACAGCAACATTCCTAACAAATAAATATACACGAGAAGAAGATTGTATGACCTAAGGGTTGGCATACCAAGGCTTATAGTGACATTAACATGCTTAGCTTAAAAATATTTCATAAGAGGAGATGAAGGTTAACGATAGAATTACCAAAATAAGAAAAATAAAGTGAGCATAGAACTAACAGTGCAATTGGCCACAATTGCATGTAACTAGAAATAATTGGAGTCAGGGAAAACTGCTTTTATCTAATTTCGAGAACATGAACAGTTAAACCAACTACAGTTAAAAAACTAACTTCTAATAAAAAACAATAATAGTTTGTAAGGTATTTGAAAAGAAATCTGAAAATGATGATGATTAAAAAAAGGAAAAGGTATTAATTTAGCATAGATGCAAGAGACAATATGCATGGAACATGCCTGGAGAAGTTTAAATTTTACACTTGAATCATTAGATGTATAGGTAAATAATGATCACAAACTGACATTGTTTTATTCAAATTAGGCAAGGATATCTAGGAGACACTATTAGCTGAAGATTTTTCTTCAAGGATAACTGTGAATGCCAACAAAACAAGCTATCCTTGAACACTCATTTGGCTGCAATTTAAACAGAATATCGTGCTCAACAAAACCACAAATTTTGGCCACTAAGCCAAAGATTAAAACAAAATCTTATTGGAGCCCAAAGAAATTTAAACTAAGAAATAGCTAAAAAAACTAATTAAAAAAAGCAAAAAGAACACCCTTAAGCAATGTTAAAAACAAAATCGAAATTAGGAGACAAATAAATTTATGGTGGGAATTTCTCCATTGTAATGGGAAGAAGGAATGATAAAATATTAATCGAACTAAAAGTTTCAACCCCTAACTGGAAAATTTCATTATAATGATCTTAAAAGGGATCTAGTTTTACAAGTACAGATAAATTGGAATAATGAATCAACAAAAGATGCAAATATTTTGAGGGATTAATCACTGAAAGGAGAAAGTATATGATTGGAGAAAGAGAAAATGTTTTGGAGATTAATAGAAAGGAAGAAAAAGGAAAATGGTGCAACAAGTGAAATAAAACTTCCAATACATATTTGAGACAAGTAAACAAGGCAATGGACGACGTTGTTCAAATAAAATGAACAAAGTAAAATTGTTTCTAATTTATTTGATATAAAATAAAAAGGTTGATGGAAATAGCATAGGTTTGTGGATGGCTATGGTTTAATTTTTACATAGTTTAAAGTCCATTTTAAATAGTAATAAATATTTTCTTAATAAAAATCACCTCAGGTTCATATTCAATTAAGTACAAGATACAGCACTTTCGCGACTCTGATTTATTTTTTTCTGAAAAGTTCGGTTCAAAATTGAAAGCCAGTTTTAAAAGCATGAATTTGGGACTTCATGTCCAGTCAAATCGTATCATTTATTGAACAATACAAGCAGACAAATAACCAAAAGTCAGCACATTAAAACACAAAAACCACAAACAGTAGCAAGACAGCTTAAGTTGTTTTCTTTTTACATAAATCTTTGGATATGTTACCAAAAAAAAAAATTACCAGTATATTTCACCGGGGGAAATTTTGATAATGCCCAATGACCAGATTTGTGCGGTATTATCTTAGTTATACCATATCAAAACTTTCTTCAAAATACTCCATAACTTAAGTTTAACTTGAATTAGTGCTTGGTCAAGTGTCTTCTTGACTCTTGAGTGATGAGTGATGAGTGATGAGTGACGAGTGATGAGGGACTTCTTCCAGGATTAATCTATCAATAAAACAATTGTGTGTTTGATGAATTTTGTCCAATTTAGCAATAAATTATTGAATGTAATCATATGACTGAGCATCAGTTTTAAAAAGCTCGGATTTGAGACTTCATAGACATATCTCAGAAATTATTCTATATCTACATCATCATCTGCTCAGTCAAAAACAAACAAAGCCATTAAACAAAAAAAGCTTAACCTAAAATCATTCATGCAAACAAAAAAACCAGAAACAATAGAGGAAAGAAATAAGTATTTCTAAGCTTTCTTTGTTACCAGGTACATTACAGGTTAAAACTCCCAGAAAAACGCCATGATGAAAAACTCCGATCATAGACATTAAGATTTCTAGAATACAACATCAATCCTACCAGGATATTTCACCGGGAGAAAATTTGATAATGCCCAATGACCAGATTTGTGTAGTATCATCTTAGTTATACCATATCAAAACTTTCTTCAAAATACTCCATAACTTAAAGTTTAACTTGGATTACTGCTAGGTCAAGTGCCTATTTGAGTGATGAGTGATGAGTGATGAGCGATGAGGGATGAGGGACTTCTTGCAGGATTAATCTATCAATAAAACAATTGTGTTTGGATGGATTTTGTCTAATTTAGTAAAAAATTATTGAATGTAATCATATGACTGAGCATCAGTTTTAAAAAGCTCGGATTTGAGACTTCATAGATATATCTCAGAAATGGTTATATATCTAATCATCATCTGCTCAGTCAAAATCAAACAAAGCCATTAAACCAAAAAAGCTTAACCTAAAATCATTCATGCAAACAAAAAAACCAGAAACGATAGAGGAAATAAATAGGTATTTCTAAGCTTTCTTTGTTACCAGGTACATTATAGGTGTTGAAACAAACAATATATTATTACCCAGAAAAACAACATGATGACTCTGATCATATACACTAAGATTTCTACAATAAATCAGTCCAACCACATCACAACTTTATCCTGTATAAATTTAAAAATGGTGCAGTCTTGAGTGTCGAGTTCAGTAAGATAGCTTTTTCAGCTTGCTTAGTGTGTCTAACTCAGTAATAGTTTTAAAGTATTAATCATCTAATTGAGCAATACGTTTCTGAATTTACTCATAAGACCGAGCATCAGTTTAAAAAAACGTGAATATGAGACTTCATAGAAATATCAGTGATTATGATATATCCACATCATCAGCTCAGTCAAATCATACCACCATGCATTGAATAACAGCTAAAGAATGCAAACATATTAACCACAAAACGAATCAATAAAAACATACAAACAAGATCAAGACAACCATCGTCCATAGCAATTCTTGTCACAAAAGTTGTCGGTCATATTATGGGAGTAGAACAAATAAACATTTCATTGAAAATAAACAAGATGTCAAGGTTATCAGTACATTCATTTATGCACAATACTGTTGTAGTTATCAGAAACAATCACATATGCACAGTTATACCATTCATATATGGTAGACCTGTCAGTTTCAGCAATACAAATGTTTTTTTCTGGTTCAAAGCCTGGAATAAGAAATCCCCTTTGGCTAATCTGCCCTAATCTTAAACCACCTTCCGTGTATTAGGAATAACTCAACTGGGTGCCCAAGTAAAGAACCACTCTACAAAAAAAAAATTTAATATAATAATTTAAAATTGCGTGAAATGAGGCACACCTCAACAGTTTTTTGAAAAAATTGCAATGAGTCTTACGCCTCATTGGGCATTACATTAAGCTTAATTCTCACATAATGTAAGACCGGTCAAGATGCAAATCGCCTTGATTTTGGTGAAGTGTATGCACTTAGGACTAGGGTTTACCTTAAAATATGTATTTAAAATAACTCTAACAGACATTCTTCAATTACCCATATAATACACAAATGAGAATTTAATTGATGTTGTTGCTATCAACACATTTATTATTTTAAATTTTATTAAATAATCTTATTAATTAATATTGATTAAATCAAAAGATTTAGATTTAAGATGACAATGAACGAGAGAATAAGGATACAAATAAGGATGAAAAAGAGAGAAGTAAATTGTTAAATAAAAGTGACTAGGACTTTTAAATTTAAAAATTCTAACCTTAGTGACTTTTAGTGTTCTTACTTTGATAAAATAAAGTAAAAGTTTGAGAGAAACTAATTAAATCAAACTTATTTTGAATTGTTATGTTATTATGTTTTATATTGGCGTTTACATAGCATATCTTATTTTATGATTTGTTGTTTGGAAATTAACATGCTACTTCTTATTTTCAGTCGTTTATTATTTTTACCATAATAAGATGTTAAAATATTATATTTAACCAATTAATGTATTAGAATGTTAATAAATAACTTCTTAATATAAACTTTGAACTTAATACAAATCCTTTGGCTTTGCACAATTTGTTAATTTTGAGACTTATGCCTCGCCATATGGATAAAAAATCTTCAGTATCCAATTAAGGGTCTGTTTGAGGCAGCTACAGCTTGTTCAGATAAACAGTTTATCCTGATAAGTTGACTGAGTGTTTGGTTTGTGGGTTTGAAAAACAGCTGATTCTAGATAAATAATCATTCTGCCCTTATTCTGAATAAGTTGTTCAGCTATTTGGTTTGTGCGTTTGAAAAACAGCTGATTCGAAGCTTTTTATAGATAATTGACCAATCTCGCACGCAACTGTTATGTTGTTTGCAACAAAATTGAAATGAATACACATTAGAAATTTCATAACCAATGAAATCCCTTCACAACAAGGCAAAAACAAGGCAATGAAATCCCCTCAAATGATTAATGTATATTATAAACAAGGCAAAAAAAAACAATAACCTAGTCAAATACATTTTAAAATAATAAAATCAATGTTTCAAAACTCTTGAATTTGCATAAACAATTCCATAGACCACTAAATGCCCCCAAACAAATAGCATAACATGAGTGCTCTCACAACAATATATGAATTGCCCAATCAATCGAACCTCTACAACAACAATTAACCAAAAAATCAAGCTGCTGACTTGCATGCTAAAGCCTAAGCGCATAAAGACATTAGTTTAATAAATTAATATGGTCGAAACATACATAGCTAATAATAAAAATATATATTTTTACACATACATACCACCTAATTCTTATGCATTAACATATCAAACAACTAAACTCTATTTTTACATTTATACCATTAAAATCTTTTATATTACATAAAAAACATAACTCACATAAGGCGTCACGTAAGTAAAAAATTAAAATTTAGATATTAGATATATAAATACATAGGAAATGAAAAAGTTGATAAGTAAATCTTCCACAAAATAAATTTAACATCTTACATAATATCCGACAACAAATAATTAAAAGAAAGAATTTATAAAATTGATCCCAAATAATTGCATTAAAGTCAAACATAAAAGAAAAGGATAAACTTTTCCAAAAGGTGGAACCAGCTGCTTTAGCTCGTACCTTGATCATGTCCCATAATTCCTCTTTCCTCACCTTCAAGCATAATAATTATTACTGAAACGGGGATCGTTCTCCTCGTCGGTGGAATAATCCGAATCGCACTCCGAACGAGACGAGACGCTTTCCTCGGAATCAAGAAGTGTTGGAGATCAACCAGCTAGGGCTTCTTCAGGCCTCTGCTCCGCTGTCGGAAGAGTCAATGGACGACGACTGGTTGTAAGGTAAAAACGGTTGCTGATGGAGACGGATGTGGAGAACCTTCTCGCTGAATTCCGTTCCTCATGGCCAGACCGATGACCTGGTATGCCATCTACGATCGAATGAAAGTATCGAGAAAACGAGAATATAGAGAGACCTCTAGGGAAAGCCGTGGTGGAACACAACAGAAGATGACAGAAGAATCACAGCAGAAGATGACGGGATGAGAATGAGGGTAGTATAGAGAAGGGAAAAAGGATACGCGGGACGCGGGCTTCGACCAGCGTTCTGCGTCTAATACAATTTAATAATCACTTTTTCTGAAACGCACGTTAAACGCACAAAACAAACACTCATGTGGCGTTTTGAAAACGCACAAGCCGCAAATAAGCTGTCCCAAATGGAGCCTAAGTAGGCTTAAACTATAAAACAGACAAAAAACTTTATGCACCCCGAAAAGGGATGGTACATCTATTAACTTAATATTCAATACCACTAGTTGTTCGTCAATTTCTAAAATTTAATTCAAGTAGGAATTAGTAACTCTTATAAATTTGAATCAAGTAAACTTTGGGTTGGTTAAATCCGAGAAACTATTTGGTGTAACATATATCAAATCCGGCTAAATCCTATTAAATTATTTGCCAACTTTCAGTATTTAGAACTGTTAATTCATATTAAGTTAATTTTTTAGAGACTTTAACTATATTAATCATTACATATAGTAATTTATTAAATTAATCATCATTAACAAGAATTTATTTAGACTAATTACATATTATTTTGTTATTTACTATACAATAATAAGTATATTTTATTTATATGAGGAGTCAAAAAGGAAGCTCGGTGAAAAAGTATCGACGGGAGACAAATGGAGAAGCAACGACCGGAGCAGCAAAGAATGAAGGAAAAAGACTAATCATGGTACTAGAAAATTTAGATTAAATCTATCCAATGCCATGCTTCACTAAGTTCGAGCGCCAAAACAAAAGATAGAGATATGAAATTTAAGATTCAGGAGAATTTAAACTTTCCATTTTGGCCGTTTGGCAGAATTTAAAGTCAGACCCCTCTTGAATCCTGCGTTAAAACTGCTATCAAGTGGCCTCCAAAATTTACACCAATGTTTTAAAACAAACAGCACAACGCATCGCATTTTTTTTTTTTTGTACTAAACAAACAAGCAGTGTTCAAAAGCTCGAACAAATAGGCCAATGTCAAACAGTCGAAAAATTGACTGGGAACAAAGGAAAAAGAAATGTTCGATGCAAAAAACCATGGCACTCTAATAAATGACGTTTACATAAAACTAACAAAAATGTTGATTGTGAGCACCCAACCTGTGATTTATGCAAATATAAAGCGTAATCAAAAGGAAAGGCACAAACTTCAAATTCGCGAATAGAAACAGGAAAGTGTAGATACCAGAAGCAGATCCAAAAGAATGAAAAACGATATAGATATAAGGAAGAAAATTCACCTTCACCACAGGGAGACTTCCTGGTAGTGATATTGAGGACCTTGGTCGGCATCCTGACGGGTCCCTTTACTTTTAGCTTTTTATCCTTCGCTCCCCTCACCAGATCCGCGCATACTATCCCGAACCGCAAATCAAATAAAAAAAACTAATAAAATTTAATTCGTGTTCCAAAAAACGAAGTTCTCATTCTGAACAATAGATGGCAGGAAATACCCTTCTCAAGATTCTTCACGTTCTTAGAAGACAAAGTGATCCTGATGCGATGCTCCTGTTCCCTTGGCTCCTCGAGCCCCGGTTTTGTGGGTTTCATCGCAGTGTAAGCCATCTTTAGAAAAAGATATATCGATCTAAAAGCCTATTAAAACAGAAGTTGGCAAAACCAAAACCCTAAATGAAAGAGAGATGAAACTACGATACCTTGTGGGAAGAGATCGAGAGCGAGCAGTCTATTTATTTCGCTGCCTCCGCCACTTCTGCACGGCTATTGTCAGGCTAGGGTTTTGCGTGATTTATATATAAGATTCCCAGCGGCATTCCATTGTTTTCATATAAGCCATCAGATATGGATCAACGGTGTAAAAATAGGAATTGAAATATATAAAAACTTGTTCCGCTAGATGAAAATTTTTTTTAAGCTTAAATTATAAATGAGTCAAATACAAACAGAACTATTCGCTTGTGTTTGATTTGTTTTAACTTGAAATAAAAAATTCATATAATTATTTATATAATAAAATATTGTATATTTTATTTATTTAATAATATTTATAATAGCTCTTGTGATAATGTGGTTATGTATTTTTTTTTTGTATAGATTTGGTTCAAGTTTGAATCCAACACTACAATTATTTTTTTTCAATTGATTTATCGAGTTAATTTTGAGTCGAACACGAACAAGAATATTTAAATCAAGTTGAACACGAGCACGCTGTTTACAAGCTAATTTCGAACATAGTTGATTTCGAGCACGAGTAATTTCGAACAAGTCGAACACGAGCCTAGCCTGAGCTCGCTCAAGCTCGGCTCGTTTACAGCCCTATATGCTCGTATGATTTAAAGACTGCGCTATTATGAGTATATTTAGGAGAGTTTTTTATATTTTTTTTTTATTTTAAACGTCACTACAATTTTGTTCGGGAAACTGTTTTCTTATTGTTTTCTAAAAATTGTTAGGTGGGAAATTGTTTTTTTCAACCTGACTTGTAAGAATGGGGTGGCTATAAAATAAACTATCAGAGTTTTTGAGAATAGGTTGATATATATATATATATATATATGTTGAGAAATTAGGGTGAAGAAAAACAAGAACGACACAAATCCAGAAGAACACAGAGAGTTAACGAGGTTCGGCAAAGATGCCTACGTCCTCGAGAGCAGAGCAGCGGCTTTCTTTCAATATTCAGAAAAGAGTACATAAAATAGAATTTGGGATAACACCTAGGGTTACATACAAGTTTTTTTATAACCCTAGAGTACAATATGTAATTACCAAATTACCCATGTACCTCACCCCCAACCCACATAAGGAAATTTTCCGGATTTGGACAGAATCTTCTACTATACTCCGCTTCGCTCCAGAATCTGTCCCTTTATGATATATGAGTCATATCTAACAAATCTCCACCTTGACGAATATCCAGCCCTTAGAAGAAATATATCATGAAGTTTCTTCCATATCAGCAATAGGTTGGACCACTATGCTTCTCTAGCAACTGCAAACATTCAACAAACGAATATTCAGCTCTTAGAAGAAATATATCATGGAGTTTCTTCCATATCAGAAATAGGTTGGGCCACTATGCTTCTCTAGCAACTGCAAACATTCAACATGTCCAAGCAATGCAAGAACTTGTTGATAGTAACTAGTTTGGTCAATATATCAGCTGCATTTTCATCAGTATGAACCTTCTGCAACAGTATCTCACCAGAAGCAATCAATTATCTGATCTTGTGATACCTGACATCAATGTGCTTTGTTCTCGCATGGTACACATGGTTCTTAGCTAGATAAATAATACTCTAACTGTCACAATGCAGCTGAACTCCCCCGTGCTTAACGCTAAGTTCCTTTACTAGCCCAACAAGCCATAAGGCTTCTTTCGCAGCTTCAGCTACTGTACCCAGTTCTAGACCTTTTGTCATCCAAATCACCTGCATAGTCTGAATCAACATACCCCACAACTGAAGGATCATTCTGCTGACTGCCAAAAATAATTTCATGTTCTACAGTACCCTTTAGATACCTGAAAATCTGTTTGACTGTTTCCCAATGTCGTCTTCCAAGTTTAGTCATGTATTTGCAGACTTGACTAACAACATGAACCAAATCAGGACAATTACATACCATTGCATACATCAAGCAACCAACTGCACTGGCATATGAAACATTTGTCATATCTTCGATTTTTGTATCTGTCTTAGGACACTGTTCTGAAGAAAGCTTAAAATGATTTGCCAACAGAGTGCTTACAGGCTTTGATTTGCTCATCTCAAACATGTCCAGTACTTTCTCAGCATAGCCTCGTTGAGATAAACATAATCATCTTAAGCCTCTGTCTCGATGAATCTCCATTCCAAGAATCTTCTTCGTAGGAACCAAGTCTTTCATGTCAAATTTCTAGTTCGATAAAGCTTTCAACCCACGTACATCATTCATATCCTTTGCAGCAATCAGTATATCATAAACATACAGTAACAAAAAAAATAATAGAATGATCATCAAGGCTCTTCACATAAACACAACAATCATACTCAAATCTCTTGTAGCCAATCTGAATCATGTAGGAGTCAAAACGCTTGTACCATTGTCTTGGAGACTGTTTTAACCCATATAGCGATTTCTTTAACCTGCAAACCAGATACTTCTGTCCAGGTTGAGTGAACCATTATGGCTGCTCCATGTAAATGTGCTCCTTCAGATCACCATGCAAGAAAGCAGTTTTAACATCCATCTACTCCAAATGTAAATCCCAAATGACTACTAATGTCAGCACTGCCCTGATTGAAGTATGTTTGACCACAGGAGAAACTATTTCATCATAATTTATCCCCTTCTGCTGTGAAAATCCATTTGTTACCAGTCGAGCCTTAAGCTTTTCCCATTCTTTTTCTGATACTGCTAGTTTCCTTTTGTAGACTTATTTGCACCCAATAGCCTTCTTTCCCTCTGGAAGCTGAACTAACTCCCAAGTGCAGTTTCTCTGCGAAGACTCCATCTCCTCAACCATTGCTTCCTGGCTAGTGAAAGCTCCTTGAAAAGTGATTGGATCATCGATGCTGATGATACACAAGATACCAAATCTTCATAACCCAATCTGCTATGAGGCATTATATTGGTGCATCTCTGTCTGTCTCTGGCTAGATTAGAATTTTGCGGATCATCTAGAATGGAATCACCAGGTGTTGGATTTGAACACCTCAAAAGCTATATTATAATTCTATCTCAGAAGCTACTAGCTGTTGTTCTAAATTCATCTGCACTGCATCTGAACTGGAACTCTTCTCTGACACCTTGTCTTGATTCTGCTGTAACATAAACTGCTCATCAAAACCTGCATCTCTGAATCTCAAAACTTGTATCCTTCCACACCTTTCTTATAGCATAGAAAGATGCACTTATTGGATTTTGCATCAAGTTATGATCTTTCATCTCCAGGTAAATGTACATAAGCAGGACAATAAAAAATTCGTAAATGATCGAAATTAACTGGATTACATGTCCATACCTCTTCTGAGACCTTGCCACCCAACGATATCTGAGATGATCTATTGATGAGATAACATGTCATATTCACAGTCTCTGCCCATAAACTCATAGGAAGCACTGCATTCAGTCTCATGCATCTTGCTCTTTTACTTAAGGACATGTTCATCCTTTCTGACACACCATTCTGTTATGGTGTTGTCGGTCACAATTTTGGTTGGAGGAGTTATCCGTTAGAAGCTGTCGGTCACCGGAATCGAAATCCCGTCACCCGCTTTGGAAGAACATTTTAATTTACACATATATATAGTTTTAGAAAAATATGAAATCAAACTGACTTCATACTTTTCACAATTTAAATGAAAGAGCCTTATGCCTCAAACCATGTATCTATCCCGAAGGATAAACACAAGACTTGAGGATGAGGCTCGATCAAATAAATTAAGAAATATATGACATTCGTTTGGTCTACGAAACCATTATATTTGCCGACAATTAAACACAAGACTTGAGGATGAGGCTCGATCAAATAAATTAAGAAATATATGACATTCGTATGGTCTACGAAACCATTATATTTGCCGACAATTTCTCCTATTTAATATGAAGAATTAAATAGGTTTTATATTAAGCAGGGTTCGGACAAGCTTCCTATAAGGGCAAGCCCCTATAGTTAATAGTTTATTACATCTTAGATCACCGAAGTTACCTAAGAAAACTCTCGATAAAAATC